AATGTACTCCAAAATTACCGCAATTCCTGACGATTGTCAAAGAGGTAACCAATGACTCGTCGTTCTCGATGTATAACTTGTCGTCGAAGACTGAGTGGAAGAAGAGCTCCAAATTGAATAACGGAGTCAATCCTTAAGTGGTATTGGTTTGTGAGAAATTAGGCAAAAATTTAATTTGTCAGCGAATTTGTGATTAATTTGGAGTTTTAAAAAGCGCTAAAACTATGTTTTCAGAGTTACCCAGTATTAAATGTTTATGAATTCTTGAACAAACTATTTAAATCTTAAATAATTGTTGAGATAATATTTTATTGTAATTGTAATCATAATTTTAGGCTTAGTTTATGACTATATTTTAATCATAATTTGTTATTATTTTACAGTATTATGTTAATTACTTTTAATGGGACTTATAATACATAATATTCTATGAATTTTTATAACAATTTATTCAAATTTACAAAAACAACCGGAAGAGAGGTGGGAGTGAGAAGTGATTTAATGTGATTTTGACATTAAAAGTCAAACGAGAGTATTTGTTATAGTATTTTATTGAAATGAGTTTTGTTTTATTATATTAATTTTAAAATTGAAACTTTTTTAGCATTAGCAATTTTTATTTGTATTTCATTTATCGAAATAATTGATTAAATAAAGTGTTTTATTTTAGTAAAACAAAGGCACAAAACAGAGTATTGCATACAATAACTACATACACAATACAGGGTGTCTCGCAAATTGTAATTTTCATTTTAGATCATTGGTCAGGATCATTTTAGATCAACTTATATAGCAATTGAATTCCAAAGAGTCTGTTATAATAATTGCATTTATAATTATGTCTTCAAATGTTTATCCATTTATTAAACTGTATATCAATTTTACGAAATTTGTTACTCAGTAATGTTGAGTCTGGTTCTAAATAATAGTGTTTGTATACTCTTGTTATTGTTACCAATGGATGTAAAATTTAAATCTCTTTATCATGTGATTTAATATTAAAGATTTCCAACTTTTGTTGAATTTAAACAAGGTTTTGTTTTATTTTTCACTTGTATAAATACATGTATTATCATAAAACACTCATATTTTACAGTTGTATGAGTATTATATGCAGTATTATCTACAGTATTATATAAGTTTTATTACGAAATAAAACTAGACTTCCTATCATTTAGATCACATTCAAAAATTAATCTTGACAATTATTGAGCTTAGAGAGAGAGAGAGAGAGAGAGAGAGAGAGAGAGCAGCAAAAAAGTATAGGGAATCGGCCGGCGCTTCAAATGTTGANGAGAGAGAGAGAGAGAGAGAGAGAGAGAGAGAGAGAGAGAGAGAGATTGTTTTAAGTCATTTGATAATAAGTTCATTCCTCTAACAAAATACATTTCCTTTTTAAAAGTTTTTGTACGAAATATGAGTAAAACTAAACGAAAATCATCTGATATATCATCTAAACTTTCATATGATTTCAATTGCATAATCAATAGCTTTACTAACAATTTATCGACTCTTTGCCAAAAGTACTCATTTTTATGCCACATTTATTACTCTTATTTACAGTTATATCTTAATTATTATAATAATAAAATATAAAATTGTTTAAAAAATTGCCAACGTATTTTGCACTGAATATAATATATCATTAATATTCAATAATAATTAAAATCAAAGCATTAATATCCGAGACCTTCAGTGATTGACTTTTTATATGAACTTTTCACTGACTTGTGAGTACATACAGTTGTATTCAGATTTATGGTGACTTTATTGTAATCATGAAATGAGTTTCATTTTCTGTAAATGAAGTTTATTTCTTTCAATTTTATTATAGGCATCTAATAGACTATACAATAATTATATATATAAAAACAAAATTTGTAAGGGCATATTTAAAAGATTTAACAAATATTTTGATATTAAAAAACTTTTTATTACAACTAAGTATATGAATATAAAACATGGGGTAAATTGAGATAAATTTACATTAGGGATGAATGGATGAAGGGATGCCACAATGAGTTGACTTGTATTAACTGTACTGTAGTTATTACTAACAATTTATCGACTCTTTGCCAAAAGTACTCATTTTTATGCCACATTTATTACTCTTATTTACAGTTATATCTTAATTATTATAATAATAAAATATAAAATTGTTTAAAAAATTGCCAACGTATTTTGCACTGAATATAATATATCATTAATATTCAATAATAATTAAAATCAAAGCATTAATATCCGAGACCTTCAGTGATTGACTTTTTCATTGAGTACATACAGTTGTATTCAGATTTATGGTGACTTTATTGTAATCATGAAATGAGTTTCATTTTCTGTAATGAAGTTTATATCTTTGAATTTTATTATAGGCATCTAATAGACTATACAATAATTTTATATATAAAAACAAAATTTGTAAGGGCATATTTAAAAGATTTAACAAATATTTTGATATTTTTTTGAAAAATAATGTTGATTCATATACTTATATTTTGTACCCCATTTAACTCTATTTAAATGTAATCCCTACTTACCTACTTCCCTACGGTGTTACTCAACTGAACATAATTGACATGACATCAACTGGTGTGACAAACTTCATCTTAGACTCGTTGGACACCTCATACCTCACGCACTCCTCCTTCCCGTTGCTATTCTTTCTGATCATTCAGTCAATCATTAGTTATATTTATATTTCATGGAAAATGCAACAAAAATCAAGAATATTGATGAAAGCAAACCTGATTTCCACGCAGACGACAGGTCTCTCCTCTTTAATGCACTGGACTTTTAAAACGTTGAAATAAAAGTTGCCTAACATTTGTGCGTACGAGTTGCTTGATCTTTTTAGGCACTTTAGAAAGTCTTCATCACAATCACAATGAGATCTGTTTTTAATGCACATTGGGTTTCAATATTTAGACATATTATACAGTATTTGACTGCAAGACTTATTATCTAACCACTTAAATAATTTAGAAATAATGAAAAATCTATTTTTGTTTAAGAAGTTCAAATTAAATGGTAGTAAAATTAGTACAAACTTTGTATATAACGATAAGTTTATTAAACCATAACCAAAACGAAGTGCCTATAAATCAAAGTAAGATTTTAATTCCAGCGATAATACCTGTATATCATTGCATGTGATTATATGGCAAATGCATATGATTTACCTTGAGCCTAATGGGGCAGTGATCATGAGCAGCTGTTGTGTGCAGATATAGTGCAAATCCCGGGTTTAGTAGCATTCACAACCGGCGCAGAGGATTTGGCGTGGTGAATAAGTATCTTTAACAAAATCAAAAGTAAAAACACATTATAATTTCAATAGAAATTTATCAATTTGGTCCAATATATAGTCAACAAGTTCATTTATAAACAATGCATTGTAAAACAATACACATTGTATCATTTCTGAGTCAGTTCCTACAGTATCATCGTGATTGATAATAATAATTATTGTTCATAATTATCTAAATGTTAAGTAATTATTGTTTAAAATTATTTTTAGCATGCTTTCTACTTGTGATAACTGGATTAAACAGTCCTAATAAAATGCTATAATTATTGCCTAATTATCCTTGCTTAACGTAACTAACAGAATATTCGCAAACATCAATTATGAGTTGTCCTTAATTTGTAGAGAAATTTGGAAACAAAAATTCCGAAATTAATTATTTATAACAAATTAATGTAATCTTTAATCAAAAATGTTGCTTAAAATAACTTAAATATAATCTAAAAATCGACAACACACGTCTATATCACGTTTAGGGCCCAAATCATCGTAAGTGTTGGCCGCGTCTCCTAAACCGCACCACTTATTCATAGAAATTGTTTTAGTTTTCATTTTTGTGTAATATTAAAGTTATTAAATTTATAAATTTGGTGCAATAAGTCAACAAGTTCAATTATAAACAATGCATTGTAAAAACAATATACATTGTATCATCTCTGAGTGAGTTCCTACAGTATCATCGTGATTGATAATAATAATTATTGTTCATAATTATCTAAATGTTAAGTAATTATTGTTTAAAATTATTTTTAGCATGCTTTCTACTTGTAATAACTGGATTAAACAGTCCTAGTAAAATGCTATAATTATTGCCTAATTATCCTTGCTTAACGTAACTAACAGAATATTCGCAAACATAAATTATGAGTTGTCCTTAATTTGTAGAGAAATTTGGAAACAAAAATTCCGAAATTAATTATTTATAACAAATTAATGTAATCTTTAATCAAAAATGTTGCTTAAAATAACTTAAATATAATCTAAAAACATTAAACGTATCAAAATCTAAAGTTATTAAACACTCTCTGTGGGTAAAACCTTGAGCACGTTTGCCATATACCCCTTGTTTAAACTTTAAACTAACCTTGAGTATAAGTTTACAATACTTTAGTCTCAAATTAAATCTAAAATAAAACCAATAAAATTAAAAATTGGAGTAATTTTAGAGATAAAATATGATGACTTCCTTTGGATTTGACATCATTTCAAATCAAAGTCATTGGATCTAATCTATTGTTTCTGAAGGGATAACACATTGTTTTGTTAGCATAACAGCAGGAAAATAGCAGAATATTTGATACAATATTTACTGTTGTGTATATGAATTATAACTGTTTGACTGTATATAAGAATTTGTTTGACAATTGTTCTACAATTGAGTGCTTTTCAATCAAATATAATAAGTGTTTCAAATAGAAAACATATGTTTTCTTTTGTCTGAAAATTGCTTTTATCTTTTCGTATAAATAAATAACTTTTAACAAAGGCTTGTCTGGCTTTAATATTTAGTGAGTTTTGTCGAAAATGGTTTGTCTGCATAGAAAACCACTTTGTTTGGGCCATAAGTCTCACTTGAGATGTTCAGCTTTTTATTGTTAATAATCTAGAGTTGCCTCAAACAAATTGAATATTAAAACTAACAAAATCACAATTTCTTAAATATTCATAAAATCTAATAAAATCTTTCACATAAAACATTAAAAATTTCAAAATACTGTTAATAATTCAAATTTTTACGATTATTTCAATTATTATTTATAAAAGTAATTATTTTTAGAATCAGCTATTTAAATTACGTTAATAAACACATGTATTTCTATTAAATAAATATTTGTTTATAATTTCACTGTTTATTATTATTAATTATGACACCTGGAATAGTTTAATGAGAAAATTATATAAAAATTATCTAAACTTTATAAGTTACAAATTATAAGAGTAAATATGAAAAAGTTTTGATTCTTAACGACATAAAAATGAAGTTTTCTAATTAGATAAATCTATCCACAAGTTCGGTACATAATAAACAGGGTCTAAACTCGTGTGTAAATCTCTCACAAACATTTCATCTCAAAAGCAAATAACAATGAGATTAGATATGAAGTGTCATTCAATTGGCTTGTGTGACATGTATTGAAATTAGTGTTTAATAAACAAAAGGAGAAATGTTTGCTTACTTTAGTGCCGGGTATTAATCCCCGCCAAAGAGAAAACAGTGAAATAGAGTTCTCCGTAATGTTTGGCGAGATTTGCTCTAAACTCGAAACAGGAGACGACTTCTCCGACAATTCGCGGCATTTGTTGATCGCCTCCTGCATTGTCTTGAAGTCACTCTTAATGACGGGCAGTCCGGTGGCGGAGGCCGTGAGGTCGGCCTTATGGGCCTCCTTCTCGAGATCAAAGAGTTGGCACTTTTCAAGCACTTTGCCGGAGGTGTCGAACTCGAGTACAGCCATCGTCTTCTCCATGAGGAGTATGATGTCGAGTGGCATCGACTCGAGTGCATAGCTGTTGAGAGAGACCAGGTCTTCGTTGGTGTCGTGGTCTTGAAGTTTGTTCTCTATATATATGAACCAAAAACA